GGGAGGCGGACGGGGAGGGGGCCAGGCGCCGGGACGGAGACCGGAGGTTGGGGTGAGCCGCTGCTCGCTCAAGCCTCCTCCTCCTGACCCTGAGGCTTTTCTTTGGGGGACAGGGTGTCTCTAAAAGGCCAGACCAGTTAAAAATACCGGATGGTCCCCTTTGTCTTCCCCGCCTCCCGACACTCCCGCGCTGTCAGTCTGTCTTCATCTCTCTGTGTCTGTCCTTTCTGTTTCTATTCTGCCGGCTCTTCACTTTCCCTTTCTCTCCCTGCGGGCCTGTGCGTTCATTTCTCTGTCTCTCCCCTTCTCTTTACCTCTCACCCAGTTCCTTCTCTCTGCTGCTCGGTCTCCTTAAGTTTTCTAGCTCTCTGCCTCCCTCCCCTTAAGGCTCTTGCTACCTCCTGGGAATGAGGAAGCAAGGTGAATACTGTCAGACTCTTCTAGGTGGGAGTCCCTCTTCACAGAGGGAAGGTATGACACCTTTGTCCAGTCCGGGCCATCATTGGATGGGATGAGGAGGCCTTGGTCACTGGGCACCACTCTCCTGGGCCTCTCCCTGGACAGGTGGTGGAGGTAAGAAGGTAGTGGCCCTCAGCATCCCTCAGCCTCCACACGCCTTTTGAGAGCCCAGGGCCAGGAAAGCAATTCTAGGTCAGGATAAGACGTGGGCCTCCCATTCCTGCTTCCCCAGGGTCCTGCACAATAGTTCATTCATCCATTTATTCATTCAGACAAGGCAGGTGGCCTCATTCCCACTCGACAGATGAGGATACTGAGATTCAGTAGTGATCGCACAAGAAACCGCCACTTCAGCCTCCTACCCCAAGTTCGTTCTGCCATGCTAAGCACCTTTCCCTTTGTGAAGAGAAGGCAGCGAAGGCTCTTCCCCAGCTAGTTGTTAGAGGCCTGGGCATAGACGGAAGAGGAAAAGGGAAGTATCACTTCTGTTTTGGAGTTCAGCCTTTTAACTGTTGCTGGTAAGGAGTGTGTACCTTTGAGTGGGCAGAGAATGTAAGCCACCCTCCACTTAGAAGGGAAAACCAGAAGTTAGGAACCGAATGAAGATATTGCTAGTATTTTGTAGGTTTAAGACCTTTCCTATATTTTCCAACTTCCTTTGCCTTCTCACATTTAGCCTAACGGATGAGTCCAGCGTACATCATATTTAAATTTGACAGATAAGGAAACTGTGGCTCCAAACAGAGAAGTGACTTGCCCAGGGTCCCAAGGCCAATTAGCAGCAGATTCTAGCTCTGGCTCCTGAATTGTTCCTTCCCACCAGCTCCTGTTGCCTCTGGGAAGGAGGTTTGCAGGTGTTGAGGAGGGGAGCAAAACTGGAAACTAATTGGTCAGGGCCCTTTTGACAGACTAGCCTCACCATCTCCCCACAAATCTGGGGCACAGGGGTGTAGATCCACTCACAACACCTGGGGATTACTGAGGCCAGAAAAGCAGAATGAGGGGAAGTGTATAGAAAAGGGAAACCTTTGTGGCTGATTAAGTTTTATTTTGTCTGTTTACTTGCTTTTAATTACCTGAGGGAAGGGATTAGGAGCTAATTCCCCAAGAGTATAGACCTGAGGAAGTTGTAACTAGGTTGTAACCTTAGCTTCCCTTTGGCTAAAAGCAAAGAAAGCTTGCTTCTCGGTGGCTGCAGTAGGAAGGGCCTGGGGACAGGGGAAGTGATGCGGGTCAGAGTCAGGGGTATGTGTGCCTGTTAGTAAGAGCTGTTTTCCTCAGTGAGAGTGTTCATTCATCCATTTATTCATTCAGCAAACACTAACCCTGCGCTTGGCTCTTCAGGCACCACTCAGAGGCGGCTTAGGCCACTGACTCTGATTTTAAAAATCAATGGAAGTCTGCATAAGTAAGACACATGTAGTTATTGGTCTGAGGACCATAAATCGTGAATCCATAGACAATTCATCCTCCAAGTTGGAACGCTGGTAAATCTCTGGGGTTATTAAAAAATATCTAGGCAACACTTAGAAATTGGCAGAGTAGATCCAGAGGAGAGGCAGGGTGCCAGTTTGAGCAAAGTGAGTTGCAAAGCACTTTCCTGACTGCTCTTCATTTTTGTTTGTTTGTTTGTTTGTTTTTTCCTTGGGAGAGGAAGGAAAAAAGAAAGAAACCAACAACTTGAGGTTGGTAGACCACATTTTTAATCCCAATCAGCTGGCTAATTTTTAAATTGAAGCCCACTGCCCTGGCTGCAGACCTGAGGGGAAGGGCCAGGGTGGGTTTGGGAATTCATTTATGCAGGAAAAACTCTCCTGTGTGTCTTGAAACCCCAAATTGACTTGAATGTGGTGGCTCTGAGATCTGCTTGCAATGACATCATCTTAAAGAGCTCGCCTTCTGCATCTCCCAGATGTAAGTACCACCGTGTTGTGGCACCGAATGTGACGAGGTGAGCCCTCGAGGGGGGAAGCAGAACTGCCTTATGTTTGTGAATTAGCCATGAGTGATTAAACCCTGTCTGACACCGCAGCGTGGTTTCAGAGGCAGTTTGGGGGCCACTTTATGGCTTTTGGTGACAAGTGTGTTTCTTTACTGAATATTGGCCTAGCCAGTGGTCGGCAAACTCATTAGTCAACAGAGCCAAATATCAACTGTACTTCTTCAAAATAGACTCGCCCAGGCTGAAAACCGACTTCTGCGCATGGGCCACGAAGTTTCAGTCGCACTGTACGTGCGCCCGCACGTGGTATTTTGTGGAAGAGCCACACTCAAGGGGCCAAAGAGCCGCATGTGGCTCGCGATCCGCAGTTTGCCGACCACAGGCACAGGCCAACCCAGAGCCACCTGCAAGTGTACCTCTTCTTCAGGAAATGTCAAAGCCAATGCTCTGTGTTTTCCCCGCTCATGGTCTTTTACACGGTGGTTTTAGTGTGTGTCAGACCCTAGGGCCTAGCCCTTTTCTTGCCAAACTGTGAGTTCAGTTCAAGGGGAAAAACAAATCCACCCTTTTTGACAGTCTTGCCATGTGCCTGCTCATTATCTGGGAATTCTCCCTGTGACTCTGCTGGTAGAGATCACTATTATTATTTCCATTTGATAGATGAGGACACTGAGGCTCAGAGACTTGCTTACAGTGTACAGTTAAGGACAAAGCCAGATTGGAGCCCAGGTCTCCCAGTGCCAGGCCCCCACTGAGCAGTCTCCCTTGTAAAGTAGTTGATGTCCCTGTCAGCCACACAGCAGCTGAAAAAGAGTAAAAGTCAGTGGAAGAACTGTTCATGAAGCAGACAGTTCAAGACAAGTTTTGAGCCAGAGGACAGTTTTAGTTTGGTTTTCAAGTCCATTCTGATCTTCTTCTTCTCCTACCAGCCTCCGTCCTGCAGGGCCCACACGCCTGGCCCTCCCCCCTTCAGTTGCCATTTTCCTGAGGAAATCTCAAAGGAGCTTGCCTTCTCCATGGAGAGTCAATGTAACTCAAGACTTGGCTTACCTTTGGACTGTGGTCTCTCCTGACTCACTCTTATTTATCTGCCAAACAGGTTGCTAAAGTGAGAGATACCCATTTGGAGAGCTTACTGTTATCTAGCTGCAGTCCAGCCTGCTACTAGGGGCTCATGGTATTGAATTTTGTGTTCTTTACAGGGCCAACACTGGTTTCTCTAGACTCAGAATCTTCGTATGTGGGTGTTTTTTGTTGTTGTTGTTAATCCTCACCCATGGGATATTTTTTTCCATTGATTCTTAGAGAGAGTGGAAGGGATGGGGAGAGACACCAGAGAGAAACATTGATGTGAGGGAGACACATCTATTGGTTGCCTCCTGCATGTGACCCTGGGGGCCAGGGATCAAGCCTTCAACCAAGGCACATGCCCTTGACTGGAATCGAACATGGGATCCTTTAGTCTGAGGGCCTGTGCTCTAACTACTGAGAAACTGGCCAGGCCTAGACTCAGAATTTTAAAATTCTACGCACCTATGCTATGTTGTTATTATTTGGGTGTGCTAAATTCCTTTTGTGGTCAAGTGCCCCTTACTTCTTCTGTGTGCCAGGCCCAGGGCTGTAATAAGCAGACGCACCAATGCACCAACATGTCTGACTATTGGGATTGAAAGGACAGAGTGACGGAGGGGAAACCAGCTAACTTTTCCTGCCCGGCTCTGTAGGGTTTCTGTCAGGGGCAGAGGGATGAAGAAGAAAGCTCATTACCCTCAGGGAGTGTGTAGCCTGAGGACTCCAGGTTCATGCTATAGAAAGGTGAAGCCAGGCACTGGGGGAATGTGGAGAAGGGACCAAGTCTCAGTGGGCTTCCCTTCCCAGCTTCACTCGCCGCCCTGCCTGCACTTGGCCTGCACCAGCTTTCACTCATCTAAACCAGTGCCGCAGCCTTCAGTTGACGGCCTCGCCTCCAATCTGTTTTCTAAATTGCTATCAGAATAATCTAAAACACTGTCTTTTGGTCAATTCGCTGTGCTGTTCCCCTTAATAGCCGTGGGCAAACTACGGCCCGCGGGCCGGATCCGGCCCGTTTGAAATGAATAAAACTAAAAAAAAAAAAAAGACCGTACCCTTTTATGTAATGATGTTTACTTTGAATTTATATTAGTTCACACAAACACTCCATCCATGCTTTTGTTCCGGCCCTCCGGTCCAGTTTAAGAACCCATTGTGGCCCTCGAGTCAAAAAGTTTGCCCACCCCTGCCTTAGAACCTTAGGCAGCTCCCTGTTGCTTGCTGAGTAAACCTTCAGCTTCTTGGCCCGGCCTTCACAGCGCCCAGCCCAGCCCCACCTCACTTCTCCAGCTCTACCCACCCTTCCCGCTGCCTCTAGGTCTGCAGTATGTTGTGCCACCTTGAAAACACACCCTCAGGCATTCCTTTGAGCCAACCAGGATAGATTAATCATTGTTTGACATGGGGCCTCTGCCCACGGAGCTCACCTTCCAGTGGGGAAGGCAGACATGTGACATGGGTCTAGTGCGCTGAGCTGAGGGCTGTGATGAAGGAGTGGTCAAAATGCATTGCTCAGGGGTGTTCCCTGTGCTACCCTCTCCCCTCCTAAGAGGCTCCCTCCTCTTCAGAGCTCTCCTTTTTCTTTGCTTGTTCCTTGCTTATGGACCTTAGCATGTTGAATCTTGGTTTGGTTAGTGGTGAATGTTGCCTACAGTGGACAGTTAATAAATGATGAAGCCAGACTTGGAGCCCAGGTCTCCCAGTGCCAGGCCCCCACTGAGCAGTCTCCCTTGTAAAGTAGTTGATGTCCCTGTCAGCCACACAGCAGCTGAAAAAGAGTAAAAGTCAGTGGAAGAACTGTTCATGAAGCAGACAGTTCAAGACAAGTTTTGAGCCAGAGGACAGTTTTAGTTTCTGGTTTTCAAGCCCATTCTGATCTCCTTCTCCTACCAGCCTCCTCCTGGGGCCTGCCTGCTTTGTCCTGTGTCCTCATTGCCCGGCACGTAGTCCACACCAGTCAGTCCATGTTGAAATCAGGGACTTTGGGAAGACAGGTGCATTTTTCCTGCTTAGGAAGAGCAGGAGGCACAGGAACCTCTGTAGCAGCAACTTGTTTTTCAGAACAGAAACTTGCAGTGGGATTTTGAGGCTTCATTCAACTTGGTTCATCTGGAAAAAGTCAATATTCTTTATCGCTCCCTCGACTAGAAGAAACCCCACACTTGGGGGGAAATAGCTTCCAAAGCCGCGTTCTTCTTGCTTTGGTAGTTTTAGCTCATTCAGGGCTCAGGTCCCAGCTTGGCATCGTTGGTCCAAATAGATCACTTGCTCCAGAAACGCTTTGGAACGTCTACAAAGTTAGCGGGGAAGCAGGGGACAAGCCGATTTCATATGCAAAGATTGTTGCATGTCATCAGTGGGAGACTGCCAACAAAAGGATTTATTTTTTTAAAAAAACGAGTGAAAACTTTTAATTTAGGTTTTGACATATTCTACTGATGTATGTTGGAGCAAAGATTGGAACTTGCCTGCTGTCATCTGTTGCAGATCCTACTGAAATCTTAACCATTGAAGGTTCGGTCTGATGTGATGTGTCTTGTTCAGAAACCACATACTTGTTACAATGAGATGGTATGTGTTACTGAGCACTTCAGAGCTCTGGTTCACAGGAGGAAAGAGAAAATGCCCCAAGCAAAGCTAGGGTCTTGCTCTTTTTGTGTGTGTGCTGTTTTTTTGTGTTTTTTTTTATTTTTTTTTTACTTAAATCGTTTTTATTTTTGAAGACACACTGGAAAAGTGGAATTCAAATTTAGATCTTTGACTCCAAGATAAGTTCCCTTCCCACTGTGCCTTCCTGCTTTGTCTTATAAGCTCCTTAGAGAGAGAAGAGGTGTGTACTTTTCACTTTAAAATGCTTACCAGGAAAGCATGCATACTCTGAAGAGGTTTTTTTCTGGTTCTTTTAAAGTTTGCAGATATTGAGTTATATTAGGTAGTCACCCTCATACCAGAGGGAAACCGGGAGGAAGAATAGCCATTGCTTTGCACCTTTACGGACTAATTTACTAAGTGCTCCCCAGGTTTCAGGTTCAGTGCTCAGAGTTTCCACATTCTCTGTCTACATCCTTGTGGGATGGGGCTTCTTGTAATCCCTGAGAAGAGAGCTATTCAAATACAGTACTGTGTAGTGGGTGCTGTAGGTGCCAGGCAGTGGGCTAAGTCTTCCCACATGGCAAGGCTTGTGGAGAAGTGTGAGCCTGCTCAGTCAAAAAGGATGGTACCTAAACCAAGGTGGATCTGATTTAGTAAGGAAGGCGAATCCATGGTGATACCGGAACCAGCCAGCAGGAATTCTTCCCGGGGTCATGTCTCACGGAATTGGAAAATGAAGCTGGAATCGAAAAATGAAAGCCACGGGCGAAAGGAGTTCAAACAAGGCAGGAGTTTATTGCAAACAAACACAGGCTCCCCGCTCGGGGAGGGGATTCAAATGGGTTGCCCCGGAAGCATTCTGCTCTTCCCCTTATATCTGCTAAAGGCCTGCTCTTTGTCTATCTGTGCTGCCCTCTGATTGGTTCCTAGCCTTTGTGCAACATTTAATTTTACACTTGCAAGAAAAACATCCTTGATTCAAAACACCCTGTTTTCCTGCTATCCTGTTTTTCTGCAAAACATTTTGTGGTTTCACCTAGCTCCACGATTCTTCTTTCTTCCATCCCTTACCCTGTCTACCTAATTCTGCTCTAACTCCCTTCCGTGGGACTTGGGAACTGACTGGTGTGTTGGTGTGTGTGCTGATGATGTGGTGATTGGGCTCCCGTCCCTCCGTGGGGAGCTCCAGGAGAGTAGTTGATTAGAAGGGGAGGGGATGAGTTTATTTGAGGACATGTTGAATCTTAGGGACCCACAGGACATCTGGGCAGAAACTCCAGGAGATCACTTGGCATGTGGGTCCAAGGTTCAGCACGGCCCTGTGAAACTGGGCTGAAGATCCAATGTGAAAGCTGTTAGCCATGGATGGGCGGGGTCACAGTGGGAGAGGGAGCGGAGAGAGGAGCATGCAGTTAGAACTCAGAACACCAGCTTTTAAGAGCTCAGCAAAGAAGATGGCTGGGAGGGAGCAGCCAAAGGATCGGTGATAAACAGGAGAGATGGCTGTCCTGGAACTCAAATGAGGAGGGAGGCCTCTGGTTCCCACATCTAGGCTTGCTTTTATTTAACTACACAGCAACTGCTTTTTCCTTGGAGTTCACTGGGGAGACATAGGATAGAACATCTATATATCTAAGCAAGAGGATAAAAGCTTTGCATGGAATGATATTTTGGGAGTTTTCCATGGCTGAGCTTTGCCCCAGTGGAGGAAGGATCAGAGCTCCTCTTTGGGGTCCAGAAAGCAGTTCAGTCCAGAGAATGGAATTCATAGGGAATGATGGAAGTAGTGTACTAACAGCAGAGAGAAAGTGGACAAGCAGTGGAAAGGGAGCCCAGCATGATATGAGCTCCCTGTCACCAAGAGGTGGCAAGTAGGTCAGGAATATTCTGGAATAGAACCCTGCCCTATGAGAGAATTTGACTATATGACCTCTAGGCATTGATGGAAGTAGTGTACTAACAGCAGAGAAAAAGCGGACAAGCAGTGGAAAGGGAGCCCAGCATGATGATGAGCTCCCTGTCACCAAGAGGTGGCAAGTAGGTCAGGAATATTCTGGAATAGAACCCTGCCCTATGAGAGAATTTGACTATATGACCTCTAGGTCACTTGCTTGAGTATCAAAGAGGAAGTGTTAGCCAAAATAAGATAGGCTTTGAAGTCAGACAGTCTGAGTTCAAATCAGGACTTTGCTACATATAAGCTGTGTGTCCTTAGGGAAATTACTTCCCTTCTCTGAGTTCCAGGTGCTCATCTGTAACATGGGGATAGTAATCACCTTGCCCACTATGTTATTTAGCAAGGTAACATGGAAAAGTGCCTGGCACATAGTAGGTACTCATTAAACAGAGGAAGCTGTTAAGGACGAAATGGCTAAGAGGTCCTGAGAGAACAGCTTGCCTAGTTGAGGGCAATAGGCATGATCTTTGTGAAAAGGAGTTACCTGGCAGGACAGGCACATGTAAGGAATAGACTAGTTTAAAAATTGAGCTTTTGTGTGTTTCCATTGAAGGCTTACCATCTCTCCCCATGTTTTGCCCTCTGTGCCTCTATGCTGGTGCTACTTATTACCATGGCAACAGCTTGGTGAACCACATGATGGTAGCTAGATAAAGTGATTCCCTACTAGGGAGCCAGTAGGGTGAGGTCCCTAGGCTTGTCTGTGCCCCAGCCCTGTGCCCAGGTCAGTGAGGCAGGGGCAGCGAGAGCAAGGTGGCCTGCTGAAATCTGGTTAGCATTTCCTTTTTTCCCTTTCTGCATGGCCTCAGCAGGACATTTCTTCTTCAGGTGGGCCCCCTGGGAGGGATTCGATCATTTGCTCTTACCCTGTACTGCATAGAAGATAGAGACCCAGAAGTCGCTGTGGCTGGCTAGAAGGGCCTGTTGAGGTTCTACCCTAGTCCTTATGTCTTACAGAAAAGAAAACAGAGAAGAAATGATGGGCCACCCAGCGTTAGAGCCAGGCCTGGAACCAGTGTCTCCTGGTTCCTTTCTACTATACCGCAGCAGGGAACTCTTCTTTTGGCTAGATACCATCCTGGAAACTGGAAGACTTTGTCTGCCTTGGGTTTTATAAAAACAAGCATCATAGGTCAGAGAATGCAGTGTGCGTGTCTTCTCTGTGGCTTGTCTGTTTTTAATGCAAACATAAGACTTCACAGGATTTTTGAACAGATGAAAAACTTTAAGCTCGCATGTAGATATTTTTAAAACAAGACCAAACCTTTATAAAACATTTTATGTTTAGCCTTTCAGAATTTCCTCCTAACTAACAAACCCACACCAAATTAAACTCCCCGACGTTGGATTCTTTTAATTATCCAGCACGATTATATGTAAAATGGGAGTCAGGACCGCACATCTTCCATTTTAACTGCACACAGCACATTCTCCAGGGCGGTCTTCACTTTTGGAAACAGACTCTCACTGGGTTTCCTGTTCACCTGCCTGTTTTCTAAAACACTATTCGCTTATTACCATGTCTCCGCCCCCATCACCCCAGTTTAGTGGGATGTTTGTCCCTCTCAGATTGATAAAAAATACCAAGTTCTTCTACATTTTTGAAGAGCAGCTTTTACCATGTTTCGTGGCCTTGAGTAGGGACTGTATTTAAGGTTTATGTAGAGTTTGGTGGCCTTGATCAGCCTGTATAGTTCAGGAGTTTGGCATCAAGTCATATTGGTATAGTGCTTAGTTCAATTTGGGAATACATCACAGCAATCTCCTAGAATATAGGCGAGGTCTTAGGAGAAAGGTGGGCACTTCAGAAGTTATATTGACAGACACATAAGCCTTTACTTCAGTTGAAGAAGTTACAGCAACTTGGTGATTTTTCTCTTGTTGCTATAGGATAATTAGATAAGGACAGGGCCTGATGTAATGCAGATGTGATGTGACATTCTGGCTCTGCTATTGTCTTAGATAAGCCATCTCACTTTTTTGTTGTTAATCCTCTCCTGAGGATATTTTTTCATTTTTATTTTTTTTTAGAGTGAAAGGGAGGGGGAAAGGCAGAGAGAGAGAGAAACATTGATGTGCGAGAGACACATCAATTGATTGCTTCCTGCAGGTGCCCTGACTGGGGCCAGGGATTGAGCCTGCAACTGAGGTATGCACCCTTGACTGGAATCGAACCGGCAGCCCTTCAGTCCTCAGGCCGACGCTCTAACTACTGAGCAAACCAGCTAGGGTGCCACCTCACTTTTTGAGCTTCAATTTCTTCTTCGATAGAATTATTATGGGGATTCAGTATAGTGATGTTAGTAAAAATTTGGCACAGAGCCTGGGCACATAGTAGGTGCATACTCAATATTTGTTGGATGGATGAATGCAATTAGCTGACTGCCTAATAGCTGGAAAGGAGGAGGAGATAGTCAATGCCCAAATCCTTGGTGGTTTCCTTCACCCTGGAAACAAAAGAATCAGAAAGTCAGAACCAGTGAAGATTGTCTCTTCAGAGGCTACCCATTTATTTATGTTCACAGTGAAACATTATTTGGTCTTAAGCTTGGAGCAACTGCAAAGGTTGACTAGAGAGTTTTCCTCATCCTCTGAGTCAACTGCTAGTTTCTTGTGTGGTTTCCTGGAATTCAAAGCCAGAAGCATCCTCCAAACCCACATTAAAATGCTACATGAAGTTACTTGCTGTCTTAGGTGATCCACACCATCATTCACCTTCATTAATGTGACCAGCTAAGAGTTATAGCTTCTTGTCACTCTATGTTCAGTCTCCTCCTAACATCTCATCCATCTTGCTTGCCACTGTCACATTAATCTTCCTAATACATCTCTTTCATCATGTCTCAATGTGCTGGGAACCCTCAGCCGTTCTGTTTGCCGTGGGATAAAAGCCAAGCACGTAACCCACAAGGGCAGCCTAGCAGCTGCTATTAATTGAACACCTATGACAAGACGGGCACTGTGCTTGGTGCTTTACATGCACGATCTTCCAGAAAACAGTCGATTACCCCCACTTTACAGATAATGAAACTGAGACGCTGGCAGATTAAGCAGCTTGCCCATGTTCCCACAGTTAGTAGGTAGCAGAGCCAGAATCCCAAACCAGAGCCACCTGATTCACGAGACTGGACTGCTTTTCTTAGATCCTGGGCTTCTCTCTTCCAATCATTTCTTCACCTTTTATGACGATACTGAATGAGCAGTCATCTCTGTGGGCTAGATGTGGGTGTGAGGCACCACCTTCAACCCAGGATTAGAGTTAGGAAGGCCTGCCGGCTAGAGGGTTGCTCCATGTGTCCCTCAGCAAGTCACACCTTGCATTCTGGCTGAGGTTCTTGGAACCTCCTGGCTGTCGAGGACTAGATGACAAGAGCCTCTAATATCGTGCTCAGCGCAGAACAGGGGCTCAGCAAGTGTGCACTGGCCCCGCAGAAAAAGATGAGTGTGGTCCCAAGGCTTCCCGAGTCCTCCTCCAGTCTGCACGGGTCCAGGAGGAGATGGAGGAGCGTTAGGGTGGAGCCCGGAGCTAGTTAGTCTCTGAGGAGCCTCAAGATCCCTTGGCCAAGTAGGAGGCAGCCAGGAACCAGGCAGACGTGTGCTTCTGCTCCTTCCTGGAACTTACTCCTGTCTCTTCAGACCTTCCTGCACCGCTCAGCCTACCTTTTCAGAGAAGCTACTCAAGCCCGAGGCTACAGCCTGTTTCTGTTGTGCTGGGGGTGGTGACTGCTCTCTGGGGACTCCCTGAGAACAGTCTAGTAGGAGAGCAGGAGAAAGGGGTCTTCTGCTTTGAACTTCAGGCTGGGGGATTTGTATGTCCTTATCTATAGCTTTTATTCATTCACTCTGCATTTATTCTGGCTCTACCGTGTTCCAAGCATGTGTTTAGGCAGAATAGAGCTTAGGCTGGGAGGGCTGTGAGACCTGGGTTAAATCCTGGCTCTGCACCTTACCATCTGGGTGGCCTAAAGGCCTTCTTTGAATCTCATTTCTTCTTTAAGGGAATAAAAAAGCAAAACTGTGGCTCATAGTACTTAATGGCAGGGTTGATGTGAGGTACAGTAACATGTAAAGAGCCTTATGGTGGCATCTGATGGGTGGTAGGTATTTCACCAGTGGTAGCCTGTTTTTAAATTAAAGTATAACTCATGTAACATAAAATTCACCGGTTTAAAGACTGTACATTTCAGTGGTTCTGAGCATATTCACCGTGTTCTGCGACCATCCGCACTATTTAATGCAGAACTGCCAGCTGTTTTCCACAGTGGCGGCCCCATTTACAGTCCCACAGGAGCGAGCAGGAGTTCCAGTTTCTCCACTTCTCCCCGCACTTGCTATTTTTCTTTCTTTTTTTGATTATAGCCATCCTAGCGAGTGTGACAGTGGTATCTCATTTCACTTTTGATTTACATTTCCCTAAGGACTGATTATTTTGAGCATCTTTTCATATGATTATAGTCGCAGCCTCCTTTTTATTATTCTTCCATTAAACATTTTTGTTTGCTGAGTCCCTATTGAAGGTCCAAGCCTAGGATATGGGCCCTGCCCCGAGGCTACTCACAATCCAGTGGAGAAGGTAGATCTTAAAGCAGATCATTGCAACATAGTAAGAAAACAGGCTACAGAGAAGATGTATATAGTAAGTCCTCACTTAGTGTCCTGATGGGTTCTTGAAACTGCTGCAAAACAGGCTGTACCGATACCAATTTTACCACAGGCTGACTGGTATAAACAAGAGTTAAGTTCCTATGGCAACTCATCACCCTTATCTTTTTCATGGGTTTTTATCTTGTGTCTCCCAACTGGATGCTTAGTCTCTGTGTCCCCCAGGGCCGTGCTAGATATCTGCAGTGTAAATTCTCAGCAACTGTTAAGCTCAGACACAGGAGGAGAAGTTCTGGACCTGGTTATACAGCCTTGGTTCTGACACTGTTCAGGTGATGGCACTCGCTTTTGTGACCTTGCACAACGCTGAGCTCTTCTGAATGGGGACCCTGCCTGCCCCGCTGCTGCTGGAGCCCTGGGCCTGACCTCTGCAGGACGGGTTCGGGGACCTCACCATCTGCAACCTCGGTTTCCTCATCTGCATTCTGAAAGGGTCGAAGGCGATGATTTGTGCATCATTCTCAGTTTAAATGTTAGTCTGTGATTCTGAGTGATTTCTTCTTTCCACATCAACCTGATCCTGAGCTACAGAGTTTCAGCCCAGGGACAGCATGGCTTGTCATCTCCAGTGTGGTGGCTGCATCTCAGAATCTGCCCTTGAACGTGTCAAACTGAAAGGTTGCCCGGAGCTTGGCCCCAACACATTCGGAAATCCTAACACTTTCCTCTCATCCCTTCCCTTCCCTTCCCCTCCCTCTTCCTCCTCCTCCTCCTCTTCCCACTTCTTCCCCTGCTTGCGCACTCTCTCTCTCTCTCTTTCTCTCTCTCTCCTCTTCCCCCCCACCCCCTTTCTCTCTCTCTCTCTCTGTTTTTGTTGTATTTTTCCCCCACATGTGAAAATGCCATCCATCCCATTTCAGGATAACTTCCCTGGGAGTGTTTTCTTTAGGTTTCACATTTTAGCAGCTTATTGGCTTAAGAGTTATGATAATTTATTGGAAGGAGGCTGTGAGTCTTAGAAAGACCCCATCTCCGATGGGTTGTTCATGCCTAACTCATCGGGTATATTTCATGGGCACAAAGAGAACAGGCTTTGTTTGTGAAGACGGAGCCTGGTTCCTCCAGGTAGTGGAAAGGTGGTTTGCTTCTCTGATCAGGAGGAGGGGTTAACAAAGACCACCACTTTTTTTCTTGGGCAGTTCCCTTATACTCTGTTACTTTCTTAAGTCATTCCTATGTTTTTTAAATTGTATCTTTGCTCAGAAAAATAAAACAATTCCTAGCATGTTGATAATAGCAATTTTAACATGCCATTCATTGAGTGCCTACTGTGTGCCAGGCACTGTGCAGTGAGTTATGTGAATTACTGCTGTTACCCCTCCCTCCCCCCACCTCCCCACCCCCCGGGACCTAGGAGACTCCTGAGCTCACTAGACTAAGGCCTGGCCCTTCCTCCTCACCTGTCATAGAGCAGAGGTTCCCACGGAGGTCTCTCTCAGACCGGAGTCCTGCCTCTGACCAGCCAGGCTTCCATTCCTACGATCATTTGGGAAGAT